AAGACAATGGAAATGAAGGGAGAGGACAGTACAGACCTGTTTCCCCAGAATGCAAATCTTGCCATGAAATACAGATGACCTAGCAAGAAGGAGAGCGCTGGGGAGTGTGACTCACATCTGACTCTGTGGGCTCAGACCCAAGCAGACAGCACACTGCTGAGACTTGATGTAAGGAGGTCTGGTTGGGATTCTCTAATTCTTTATAACCCCAGTTTTCAAGCTAGGGCCAGGAAGAGAGTTCCATTTACAGTGAGTTCTGTGGGTCAAGTATTTTCATACCTTACCTCGAGAAGGACAGACAGACATGCACCTTTTGATTGTAATATATAACTAGCAATTCTACTATAGCCATTGGAAGTAAAATCTTAGGTCAGGCAAATAACCTGAGTATAATTATTTTTATTATTATTTTTACCAACAGAACTTATTTCATTGGTATATGTCTTTCCAAGTTTTGAACAGAATAAATGCTTGCAACATTTAAAAAAATATGCTTCTAAGGCTATACACAAGAAAACAGAACTTCCGAGAAGTAGAAGGACTTAGCCAGGGCCCCATGCTGGTATCTAGCTGCTCTGACTGCAGAGCTCAGCCCTTCAGTGCCCTGGTGATGTTCAGCCAGTGGAATCGGAGTACCAGCTCAGACCAGAGGCTTTCACATAGAGAAGAAGCAAGTGCAGGCCGGACATGACGGCAGGAGAAGGCTGGAAGTGGGCGGGGTGACTTATTCTCTCCGCTTTTGTCCATCTCTGTTCACCCTTTTCCTAAGCAGCACTTTTGGGGTGCTGAGGAGCTTGCTGAAGCACCTGCAGGTGCTATTTGGGCCCAGATCAGAGGGATGCATGGCATCACTACAGTCACAGGGTTTAACTTTCTCTTCCTGAGTAATAACTACCTGTTTCATGGACTGGGAATGAATGGAGCCTCCAGAGTTACTTATTGTCTCCAGACTCCAGATTCTACTCAGAGAACCTCTTGAGACACACGTTACTGTCCTGAACTGGGCTAGGGAGCCAGGAATATCCCATCCATTTAGCGGTGGCACTGGTATGTTTGGTAGAATCCTAACTATCAGCCCCAAAGCCTATTGCCTAACTAACTTTTCAAATATGATGTACCCACTGGATGGAAGGTTGCACAAGACCTTTCTTTATAAGTTACTTGTTTTTGAACAGATTGCCAAGGTCATTGAATAACTCATATGTCAAGGCAAAGGGTTGTCCCCAGCTATGGACATCAGGGTCAGTCCTGACCCTGGGGCCATTGCTCCGTGATTTTGGGGGTCTTTGTGGAGGCAGCAAGCTGCAGCTACAGCCTGTCATTCCCAGGATGACTGCCTCAGGAATTCTTTTCCCATGGCCCATGCTCCGTTCTCATTCATAAGTACTCCTTTCCTCTCTTCCTGGAGCTATTTTGATGCCTGTCTCCTCCTCCCTCCCCAAGTTCCGCTCCTGTGTGAGGGTTTTCTTTTCTGGAGTCCCAGCCTGCAGCCTCTGAGTCAGTGGCAGAGGAGATGTGGCCTTGTCCGGTGGGAAGCCCACCCTTCCTCTGCCCCACCCTGGCTTCTAAGGCCTGTGACATGAAGTCTGCACACAGCAAGCAAGGGGAAGAGTGGGAGGATTTTACACAAGTATTTTCTGAGGTCTGCAGCTATTTCAGTGAGGGAAACTAGAAAATCTTGGCATTGCCTTAAGAAAAGTGGTTAAAGAATAAAATTATTTATTTAAGAAGTTGCACTCTATGCTATGTCCTCTATGTGACACCCCCTCCCCCAGTCCATACCATTCATGGCCTGTTAGACAGTGGTTATCACTCTCCTTCACCTGTGAGGAAACAGACTCAGTGAGGGCTTTGTGATTAAAGCCTATGCTCTTTCTATTATCTACCCATCTCCTGTCCACTGCCATGAGGTCAGAAGTAAGGCCAGACCTGAGTGAGCACATCGCACATAGGTTGCTCCTTTTTCCCTGAACTTGTGCTGAGTTGGAGATGGACCAACGTCATTTCCATCCCTGCATAGTGAGACATATGCAGCCCAAGAAGTTTCTTAAATTCACATTCTCTTGCTTCAGCCTCCTGCTAGGATTATAGACATGGGTATCATGCTGAGCTAAAGGCGGACTCATTCAATCCATGGTGACAGAGTATTACCAAATAAAGGAGGGAGTAGCCTTGGGCCCGACATGTTAAGATACTCCACTGCCTGTGGTGACTCAACCCTGACTACAGCCCTTTAAAAGCCTCCATATTTTTACGAAATTCAGTGCCTTACTTAAAACCGTTTTTACCATTACTTATAGTAATAATTACAGTAATAATTTCCAATATGATTTAATAGATAGGTATTCCATAAAAATAATGCTTTTAGTCCAAATGAGTCTTTTTCCCCATAGGACACAGAGCCTTTAGTAATTTTACAAGCATTGTGACAGAATTAAGGACTTGACATAGAGCCCTTCACTAATCTTTTTTTTAAATATTATTTTTATTTTATGTATGTGAATGTATTGCCGCATGTATGTGAGTGCTCTGGAGTCATACAATGCTAGAGGAGGTTAGAGGAGGGCGTCCGATCCTTGGAACTGGAGCTACTGACGGTTGTTAGCCACTATAAGGTTGCTGGGAATCAAACCCAGGTCCTTTGCAAATCAGTGCTCTTAACTGCTGAGCCATCTCTCCAACCCCAACCAATCTTTTTTTTTAAAGACCCTTAGCATTCCATGGGATATAGTTTAAGAGACATTGGTCTGCCGAACAGTGGGCAGGTTCCCTGGCTTGCCTCTGCACAGGCCCTCTGCGCCCTATTTCTCTTCCACGTAGATCTCACAGCCTCCACCCTTCTTCCTTAGCAACCAGCAAATAGCCTTTCACCGTATGGCTGAATTCCAGCATCCCTTGCCCTTGGCAATGACCCTAGCCCTCCAACTTCCTTCATAACTTCTACAGAACACATTAGTATACTTATTGGCACCCCCTAACCATGTACTTTACAGGGATTATAACCTCATTTCTGTGTGCTTAGCAGTTATCATAGAAACTGCCCCCACCCCTGCTGGTCCATAGATTTATTCTTTTAGGTTTTCATCAGAATAAATTTTCTAGTTTTTCTTTTCTGGATTTTTTAGCATGTCCGTGGGATTCTAATTGAATTTATTATCAACTTCTGAATTTATAAATTCACTGTTCTTATAAATAAAATTCTAGGTTTCTAGTCAATTGTCCTTTATGTCTCTTACTTGATAGAGGTTCTGTGTAGTTCTTGGTATGTTAATTAGTACTTACTTAATCATCTCTGTTTTTGGATGGTGGTTTTATTGCTTCTTTTAGGTTTTAACTGGTTAAGGCTGATAGATGAGAAGGCCACTGATTTTCATGATATGTTTAGCAGCCAGAATTGGTACACTTAACTGTTTTCATTCAGTGATTTTAGATTTTCCAGTGCTGCACTCAAAAGGACAGTAAAGCTGCCTGCTATTTTCCATGGGTAGCTTTTTATTTTCCACGTGGTGGAGCAGTCTGTCCTAGATACCTCTCTTGCATAGCCCCAGGTGCCTTCGGATCTTCTGCTTTCTGTCCCCACAGCCTGACCTCCAGGCCCTTGGCATGATCTTCCCTGACCACCGGAAGGAAGGTGTCCCATTGTCTCCGGAAGGGAGGTCCCCCCTTTGCCGCCACCTCAGGTTGGCCTTGTGGCTGGCAGCCCCTCCCTCTGCTCTTTCCTTCTCCTGGCTCCTCCCCTGCTTTGATTTGTAGTTTGAAGCTCCCCCTTGTACCTCTAGCTTCTTCCTCCTCATTTCCCAAGTTCCCACAGGAACCTGGGAAGTAAGTTTTGCCCAGAGGTTAAAACGGAAACTCCAGCAAGATAAGTGCAGAGGGGACAATACCCAGTTGACGTCATTTCAACTTTCCTTGGGCCAGAGGTGATGCGTAGGGTGGTTTTTGTTCATCCGTTTTTCTTCAGGTTGCCCTTCTACCCCACCCAGTGCAGTCTCTGTCAACCTCCCCTTGAACGCTCTTCTGGCATTGTCTGACCTGTTTGGGTTTTTGTGTTTCTGCCTCTGCTAATTCAAGATCTAGAGTTCCTAGTGGTGACTTAGAAATTTGCTCTTGGAGGAATTGCAGTCTTTGGAGGCAGAAGCATTCCTTGACGGTGTCAGTAAATTTCCTGTGTCATCATGCACTTCATTTCTGCGGCAGTGGTGAGAGGCCGGTAGCAGGAACTCTACAGCTGTGATTCCCCGGGAACTCACAAAGGTGTTAAATGAACTGTCATCAGTCTCCTCTCGCAATGCAGCCCTTACAGACCCTGCTCGCTATTCTCTAAGCAGCGTCAATCCAGAAGAGGAAGCTAACGTTTATTAAATGCCCACTGCGTGCCAAGCAGTGTACAAAAACTATTTCTATGCGCTGTCCTGCGTAGCTCTCCTTTACTTATCTCCATAGATGAGCTCTATTTTCCTTGATTTTCTTTCTTTATTTAGGTATTAGTTTTTTGTTGCTGAGATAAAACACCATGACTAAAAGCAACTTATGGAAGAGTTTATTTTGGCTTATGGTTCCAGAGTGAGAGTCCATAATGGTGGGGGAAGGCATGGTAGAAGGGGGATCACATCTCAGTCTACTACACCCAGGAAGCAGAGAGAGCAAACTGGAAGTGGGGCGAAGCTATGAACTCCCAAAGCCTTCCCCAAGAGACATGGTTCCTCAGAGAGGCCACAGCTCCTAACCCTCCTCAAACATCAGCATCAGCTGGGGACCAAGCATTCAAACACCTGAACTTTTGGGGGACATTTCTCATTTAAACCACTGCATGGTCTAAAAACTATAGCTCGGCATTTACCTGGCTGGGGTCGTGTCCAAATTGAATGCTCTGTCCACAATATGTCACACAAAGTGTAGGTGGTTCCTCTTAGCAGAAATGTAGCATGTGCTAGCCCAGTGTTCTAATGCCTTTCACGGGGAGTCATTTAACATCTGTTTGTTTTGTCTCCTTCCTCCAGCTATACCTGCAGGCCCGCTTCACCTGGAGAGGGGCCCGCCTGCTCCGGCCCCTCCTGCAGTTCACCTTGCTCATGATGGCCTTCTATACGGGACTGTCACGTGTATCTGACCACAAGCACCATCCTGGTGATGTCCTGGCTGGATTTGTTCAGGGAGCCCTGGTAGCCTGCTGCATAGTAAGTAGCCTTTTGTCATCAGCATGCAAACAGAGCCTTTAACCGATGCTTGTTAAATGTTTCCAACTCAGTGACTAAAGCTGTGGAGTCTTCATTCCTATTTTCTGCATGGTGTCTGCAGAGCCACCCGGCCCCCAGGACCCGGTCAGTTGATGAGAGTGATTTGATAGGGTCTATAAATCCTCTTCTCCATGAACGCAGGTTTGCCCTCATAGAATGTTGCAATAAGAAGACACTGTAGATCTTGTCCAACTTGCTCTGTATGTGAGGAAAGTAGCCCAGAAAGTTACCCGAGGTCACATGTGAGTCACTGGCAGAGTTGCAGAGTCCCCTGACACAGCCTGCTCACATGCTGCTTTGGTGGGCATTTGCTGTTTAGTGGGCTTTTTCTGCTTCTTGGGACATTCCCATGCACTCCTCTGTGACATCTGGGGACCTAGCTGGAGACTAGGAAGTTTGCTGAAGCCCAAGCCCTCCCTAGGCTGAGGGCCTTGCATATCATCAGAACTCCTTAGAGACCGAACTTAGGGTGGGTCATATATGGATTTCCCCCAGAGGGACGGATTACCTTTTCATATGTTTCATCCCAGCTCCCAGTGAGCACAGGATCGAGCCTCCCACCTCTGTGAGCCTCCATCAGGAATCCCTGCTGTTCCTGCTTGCTGGAAGGTTTGAAGGGCTGATTCAGTCAGTATCTGTGATGAGTAGGCACCTGCTTTGGTATTGTCTTCCTGGGTCCTTCTCAGAGGACTTCACCCCAGTCCCACAGGAAACTCAGAGAACAGTAAGGCCTGGATGTTTAAGCAGCAGCTTGTATTATGCTGCTAGTAATATCCTTGCTCCTTCACAGTCAGAATTGTGAACGGGGAAAGAGCTCTGAACCTCTCTCCATCCCTGCTTTCTAGGCCTGGCTGTGCCCCTGACCTCCCTGATCTTCTGTGATAGCCCTTCCCATTCTGCCTTGCATTGTTGATGTGTGTGTTGGGGGAGAAAGGAGGGACTATGTCTAATGTGTTAGCCTCCCTGTCTTACCAAGGCCTCTAGGAACCCAGTTAGGGGAAGTAAATGTATATAGAATACAAACCAGGCAGAATCAATGAGCAGATCCAACCCTGTTGACCCTATTGGTAGTGGTAGTGGTAGTAGTTCTTTTTTGAGACAGCGTCTTGAAATTACTATGCATCCGAGGCTAGCTTTGAAGTCCTGGTCCTGCCTTACTCCCAGGTGTTGGCATTATGGGTACGTCATTGCATCCCACCCAACCCTTCTAGAGGTCACCATAGGGACCTCTGTTGAAGACATAGGGATGAATAGGGTTCAGTCCCTGCTCCCAGGGAAATCCCATTCTATCTGGATGCATAGGTAAGCCAAGAGAGAAGCCACCCTAGAGTGTAGGGCTGCAAGGGACACATGGTTGGGGCCATAGCAAGTCGGCAAGGGTCTGCTACAGTGTGGTCAGTAACACAGAGACACAGGCAGTGTACTCAGGATGGATAACACAAAAGGAGGCTCTGACCTGCCTGCCAGCTTAGGTATGGGAAGCCTGACTAGGGGGCAGATGTCTCAGTGGCTGTCTTCAGTGCTTCCCCTCCCTCCCTTCCTTCCTTCCTCCCTCCCTCCCTCCCTCCCTCCCTCCCTC